ACTCCAAAGCATTAGATACCGTACTGCAACATATCACACTGAAAAACGCTCCACAATAGCATGCCACTTAGTAAAATGCCACACTCTACCAAACCATACTGAAACATACCACCATTTAGTATGCCACACTACAGCAATGCACGATAACATACTGTAACATGCACACTGTCACAAACATACCACACAGTAACATGCATCTGTAATATACCACACTGTACCATGCACACTGTAACATGCACACCGTAACATGCACACCGTAACATGCACACTGTAACATGCACACTCGTAACTTACACACTATAGCATACCACACAATAACATACCACACAACATACACGCTGTAATACGCACAACTTTACACACCACACAGTCACATGCCACACAATAAAATCCAAACAATAACATGCACACTCTTTACATGCACAATATAACATACCACACAGTAACATACCACGCTGTAACACACACACAGTAACATGCACGCTGTAACATGCACACCTTAACACACCACACAGTCACTTCCCACACAATAACATGCACACACTAACATCTCACCATCACCACCACTCCCAACCTTCACTGCCCAACCCCACTTCACATCACCGCCCACCACAACTTACCCGCCCATCCCCAAGCAGTAGGAGCAGCAGACAGCCCAATGCCTTAAGGAAAACAGTACCCGCAGAGGCTGTGCCTTATGAGGCGAAGTGTGGTAGTGGAAAATTGCTTCCAGCCCAAGACTCAAATCCCACCCCTGACGTAGCTAGAGCTGACGCGAACCAGAGCTGCCGGCCGGTCGACTCTGACGGTGTCCATTAAGCCTTAAACGCCAGTTCGGTTACTTGAGCACCGAGTGCCGTGCCGCGCAGATTCCACCCACCACACCCCCACCCACAGGACACAACCCCAGGAGATGCTGCCTCTAAGGCAGTGAGCTGCCCACTTGCTCCCATGCTCCCCACCCACCCACCCCACACTTCACCCCCATGCCTCCTTACCTGTACTTACCTCCACTTACCACAGCCGTGCAGAGCGCCATGATGCTGAGGCTGCTGGGAAGTGGAGAGAGAAGGGGGGATTAGGGGAGGGAGAGACTCCTCTGTGGTCCAGGCAGGGTGCTGCTGGGAGGGAAGGGAAAAGGGAGAGAGGGGGAGGTGAGAGAGAGGGTGGACTCCACTCTCCCGCCCTTGCTCCTGTGCTCCCACCTTCAGCCTGCAGGAGAGAAAGGGAGGGAGCAAGAGAGAGGAGGGAATCAAATCACCACACCTCACCTGGTACCATACCAAACCTTTTACCACACCTCGCTCACACCGTGCCTAGCCTAATCTTCTGCCCAGCCCCCAACCCCCCACTGCTGCTGCGCTGCTGATTCTGCTGCTGCAACTGCTGCTGCCGGTCTGCTACTCTGCTTCCTCTGCTGCACTCTTCTCTTGATGCCAAGTGACCTGGTGGCGGGCAGAGAAGGGGGAGGGGGACAGGAGAGAAAGGGAAGGAGGTTAGTGATGTGACGTGAACAGAAACACTAAAGGAAACACAGAAACGCATAAGCTGACAAAGACAACAAGGGCGCAGAGAGAACCGCAGTAACGAATGCACTCCAAGGAGGGAGGTAACGCACCTTGAGAGGCCAGCCCAACCCAATACTCTCCCTCGTGGCACCAACTGCAAGCTTCTGCATTGCTGCCGCCCTCCCATCCCCGTGGGTACCTGCACGGCCACAAGGGAGGGGAGCGGGGGAGCGTCGGTGCTGACCCCCACGCCCCTCCCTCCACCTGCAAGGCACACACGCAGAGATAATGAGTGTGCAGTCATAACACCACAAGGCTGACATGGCAGCTGGGACTTCTCGTAGGGGGAAGTGGAGGGAAGGGGCCACTGGTGGAGGGAAGAATCACGAGCCACAGACCATCAAGGGAAACCTGAAAGGTGAACCTGAAAGTAGGGGGTGACCTGAGGGGGCTGTAAGGGCTAGGGCGGGCTTAACCTGAGGGGCTTAGCAACAGAAAGGGGGGTGGTGGTCTGTGGCTTGCAAATCAGGACTCAACCTGTGGCCGGTTGTTCAAGGAAAAAACAGGAAAGCACATGCGGAAATAAATCATCGAGCAATGTGAGGAAAGACCAACAAGCAAGGGTGAGTCCAGGGAGGAGAAGGCACTTAACTGGCAGCAGAAGATGCTGAGACATTCCCTTCCCTCCCTGCTCCTTGTGCGCCTGCTGCTGCTGCTGCTTTCTGTGGTGACTTGCAAGTGACCTGGAAGGGGGCAGAACGGAAGGGAAGGACAGGAGGCGAGTGAGTGCAGGCCTTGGCGCAAGCAAGGGCAAAGCAGAAAGTTGAGCATCAGAGGAGGCACTAATGCTAAGAGTGACAAGAAACGAGCAGCAGAGAACGAGCTTGAGGGCAAGGAGAAAGCCGACGTACCTTGAGAGGCCGAGCCCACCCCAATACTCTCCCTTGTGGCTGCCATTGCCACCTGCTGCAGCGATGCGTCCCTCCCGTCCCCACGAGTCCCTGCACGCACGGCCATAGGGGAGGGCGTGGGGAAGTGTCGGTGTTGACCCCAGCGCCCCTCCCCTCCACGTGCAATGAACATACACAGAGCCTGTCAGTGTGCAACCAAGGAATCAAGCTGGATTGACAACTGTGAGTTTTAAAGACAGCACAAGCGAGGGGAGGGGCCACTGGTGGAAACACGACCCAAAGCCACAGACCTTAAAGAATACCTGAGGGGATAAACCTGCTGTAGGGGTTGTACCTGATGGGGCTGTAAGGTATAAGAAAGGCTTAACCTGAGGGGGTTTACCAGGAGTACAGGGAAGGTCTGTGGCTTGTGAACCGGGCCCCAACCAGTGGCAAGTCTCCAGGGATAAAACACAGAAGCCCATGCAAAAACGACAAGCAAGCAAGAGTGAGTCCAGGGAGGCGAAAGCACTTAGCTGGCAGCTGAAGAGCCGCCGAGAGGTGCTGCCTCATGCCCCCCTCCCTCCCCCTCCCCTCCCCTCCCCTGCTGCTTCCGCGCTCCCCGCTGCTGATGCTGCCACTACTGGTACCGTCAGTTGTCTCTGCTGCATTGCGAGTGACCTGGGAGGGGGCAGAACGGAAGAAAAGGCCCGGAGGGAAGTGAGTGCAGGCCTTAAAACAGGCAAGGGCGAATCAAAGGGACAAGTTAACAAAAAACGAGTGCAGCGGGAAAGAGTGGTAAGAGGCTTACCTTGAGAGGCCAGGCCCATCCCAATACTCTCCCTTGCTGCAGTGGGATTGCCATGCTGCTGTCTCCCTCCCGTCCCCACGAGTGCCTGCACGGCCACAGGGGAGGGGCATGGGGAAGTGTCGGTGTTGACCCCAGCGCCCCTCCCCTCCACCTGCAATGCACACACACGGCAGCAGTCAGTATGCATGGCATGGGCACAACACAAGCCAGAGACTGCAAACTGCCAAATCTGGAAGAGCAAGGGAGAGCCACTGGTTGAGTCAAGGCCACACGCCACAGACACCAAGAGAACCTGCACGTGAGAGGGTTACCTACGCACCTGAGAGGATGACCTGCATACCTGAAGGGGTTACCTGAAGTGCGGGTGTCTGTGGCATGTGAATTTCACTCAACCAGTGGCATGGTTTAAAAGGGAAGGGCAAAAGCACAACCAGAAAAGAAAGGGTGGCAAGAAAGGTTCAAGGTATGATGCGGCAGGCAAGGGTGAGGGCATGGAAGAGAGCTACACCACCAGCAGCAGCAGCACCACCAGCTGCCTCCCTCAATGGCCGCCCCCCTCCCCGCCTTCCGGTGTCCGTCCCTGCACGGCCACGGGGGAGGGGCGTGAGGGAGCGTCGGTGTTGACCCCACACCCCTCCCCGCTACCTGCAATGCGCACACACAGAGCTAGTGAGAGCACGGTGGTGGCAGCAAGTTGGACGGGTAACCATGACTTCAAATCCAGCGCAATAGAAGAGGAGGAGCCACTGGCGAAGGCACGGCCACAAGCTACAGACCCAAGGGCAGCTGAAAAAGAATCTGAGGGTGTACCTGCACCTGACAGGGTTACCTGCACCTGAGGGAATTACCTGAAGCAGGGAGGTCTGTAGCATGCGAGCAGTGCCCAACCAGTGGCGAACTTTCAAGAGGACGGTGCAGCAGCAGATGAAACGAGCGAAACGGTGTGGCAGGCAAGGGTGAGGGCATGGAGGAACGGGTACTTAGCTGATGGCGTGAGAGCAGGAGGCAGTTGAAGCAGCATGGGCAGCAGGCATGGCATGGCGTCTCAGGCGACCAGCAGTGCTGCTCCTGAGGTCCTGCGAGGGGGGCTGGAAGGGAGGGGAAGGGAGGGGAGGGGGAGGGAGGGGAGGGGATGGGAGTGGAGGGAGAGGCAGTGAGTGGGAGGGAGTCACCATTATGGAAGGGAACGCATGCATGCAAGCGCGGTGAATTAAAGAAGAGCGAAAGGAGGGCCACTGGTGGACGCACACGTGTAGTGAGTCGATTTTTGAGTCGACTCAAAAATCGACTCACTACACGCGGATTTTTGAGTCGACTCAAAAATCGACTCACTACACGCGGATTATATGTGGAGAGGATTTTTGTTGCATGGCAAATTGGTTGTAACCTTAACAGGTTACTGGTACGCGCGCGACTTCCACAGTTGCTGCCTGGCGAGGATGCGAATTCGAACTTCAACGACGACGCTCCAAGGATTGAGGACGTGGCCACCTGAGAAATTTTCAAGGGTGACATGTACTGGTCCCCGTATTTCGGGCTGACCTGGTGTAGATAACCTAGAGATCAGTTTTTCTGAGGCTTCGTTTCTTCTTGAAGCGTAGCTTAGCTCTGTTTCTTTCATTAGCACTGATGAAGGCCTGCTAGGGTAGCCCCTTAACGGCCGAAACATGTTTGTTTTACTCTACTGCTGAAGTTCTTGAGCTCGGATTGTTGAGATCTAAGTTTTACAGAAGGGTTTTTACTGTCTATCTTTTGCTTTAAGCCTGAATAAGTTTGCTGCTCGCTGAGAACATGTCCCAAGACCAGTTGGCACTTACGCTTGACTCAGACGACGCCGAACTTAACGAGGGCAGTTCTGCTATTGTGATCCACGAGGCAGGTGTTCCCAAGACTTACGCGGGGTATCGCACGCACAAGCGACAACGCCTTCGCGAACTTGAAGGAGCAAAACATACTGCACCAACTCGCGGACCGACATCGCACGGCGAGCAAACATTTTCTCCTCCCGCCATGGAGATGGATCCCGCTTCGAACGCTGCTCCTGCGGTAGCACCTGCTGTTGCTTCCACGAGCGCTAACCCGGCTGTTCCTGAGCAGTTCAACATTCCTGAGCGCTTTAAAGGCTGGACTGCGGTGGCGGTCAAGGGTTTCCGGGCGGATTTCAAATCACTCTTGAAGGCGAAGTCCAAGCTTCAGAAGATGAAGACGCTTGATGAACAGGGTGTGCTTCTTCACAGTATTCGCACCAAAGCAGTTGAGTTCCAGACGAAATACCCTTCTGTTCGGGAAAAGTCTGCAGCTTCGGTTGCTGCTGTTCATCTGGAGAATCAAAAGCGTATCCAGAAGGACTTCATCGCTTCGAAGGAGATGGAGGTCGAGGAGATTTTGGCGGCTTCTAACCTGCACGTGACGACTCTGGCGACAAAGCTTGAGGACTACCTGAAAAGTCTCTCGGAGAACCCTGACCTGGCGGTATCTGATGCTACCAGGGAGAAGTACAGGAAGATCAAGGGGGCCTGCATCGAGAAGGCGCAGTCCGACATAGCCATCGCCAGGGATGAGATCATCATCCAGGAGTTGGAACGGCAGAAAAAACGTGAAGCTGAAGATTTGAAGAAAGCTGCCGCGGCTGAGGAGATCGACAGAATGGAGTTGGATCCGACGGTCGACGCAATCGTTCAGAAGCACGTAAAGAAGGTCGAAGATCGGCTTCGCAAGGAGTTCGCGGCGAAGCTGGACAAAGAGCTATCTGCGAAGCTTCAGAAGATTGCGTTGGAGAAGAAGGTCTCTCCGTCGGCCACCGCCGCTGACTCTAAGCCCCAGAACAACAAGGCGAAGAAGAAGCGGGGGAAAAAGAAGAAATCTGACGCTCCTACCGACGGCAAGGGGAAGGGCCAAGCAGCACCGAAGCAGGCCTGGGTTCCAAAAAACGGAGGCGGCGGCCCCGCAAACGGGCCGCCAAAGAAGAAGTAACGGCGCGGGATCTCGCGCTTCTTTGGTTCGGCCGTTTGACTTCACGACAAGCCATGTCGCGGGTCCGAAACAACGGAGTGCATAACCTGAGTGCTAAGGTTTTAACGACCGATGAGCGACGAGCACTCGGGATGGGATTGAAGTTCGTGCCAACGCCTACCAGGAGCCCTTCCATCGAAGCAGACCTCGATCAACTGCATCGACGGATTTCTCTTCATTTTTTCTTCAAGGATAAAGGGGATTCATCTGAGATGTCACGCTTCCGTGTGCGCAACCCAGATTGGAAACCCGATCGGGATGCTGTCCCAGAGTCGGTTTTCAGGGAGGCCCACAACGACCTCTCTTACCTTCTGAAAGCGACGACGCCACGGCGGGGTTTCAATATCTCGTCAGGAATTCGCAAGGCGTTGCGCTCCCTCGCCGCCGACCGCAGCATCGTCATCAAACCTGCAGACAAGAACGTTGGCGTCACTATCCTTGATCGGCAGCACTACATCGACCTTTGTATGGAACATCTCGGAGATGCGGAAGTGTACCAGCCGATTGAACGCAACCCGACGCCACGGGTTCTGCAGCAGCTGCGGGAGTTGAAGGTGACGTGGGGACCGGCTTTTCCAGACAGTCTCTGGAAATATTTCTTTAAGGAACCACCCGGGGGATGGCGGCCAGCTGCGTTCTACGTCTTGCCTAAGCTTCACAAGAAAGTACCCGTGGGGCGACCGATCGCTGCCTCACATTCATGGGCCACGACTAATGTGAGCAAGTGGCTTGACGCTGAACTTCGCCCGCTGGTCTTGAATCGTCCTACGTACCTCCGGGATTCTCTCTCTCTGCTGACAACGCTCGAACGCACCACGTTTCCGACGACGGTACTTCTAGCGACGTATGATGTAGCCGCTCTCTACCCCAGCATTTCGATCGAGCGCGGTCTTGATGCGGTCAGCAGTTTTCTGATGAGGGAGAAACCGCAACTCACCCCACCTCTCATGGCCCTTCTGGGTTGGGACATGAGGAACTCTTTTGTCGAGTTCGGCGGCCGGATCTTTCACCAACTACGAGGCACCGCCATGAGTACACCTGTAGCAGTCTACTTCGCGATCCTGTTCATGAGCCGCCTGGATGAGTTACTGAAGGGGAAGTGGACCGGAACGTTACCTCTTTACCATGTGCGCTACATCGATGATGGTCTAATCGTATGGCCGGGGACGCGGGCAGATTTGGAAGCCTACCTGCGCACCTTCAATGAGCTTGATCCAAACATTCGGATCACATGGTCTGTTTCGGACTGCTCCATCGATTTTCTGGACGTGGTTCTCTTCAAGGGACCGCGGTTTAAGGAGCAGGGTACTTTGGATTTCGGCACGTTTCAGAAGCCGATGAATAAGTATCTCTATCTTCCCTTTGCTTCCTTCCACCCACGGCACTGCAAGGAATCCTTCATTCGCGCAGAATTGAAGCGGTACCTGCTCCGCTCTACATCACCTGCGATTTTCCTCGCAACGAAGAAGGCTTTCTTCGGCCGGCTTCGTGACCGTGGTTACCCTCCTGCTTTTCTGCACCCAATCTTCCAAGGCGTCACCTTCGCTCACCGTTCGACACTCCTCGCCACTACCATCGCTAACCAGGCGCTCCGGCAACAAATTTCTCTCCCATCCCGTGGACCCCTAGTTCTGAAGACGCAGTACACTTCGGTGTCTGCTCGTCTCGGGCTAGGGGTCCTTTTGAGTCGACTCAAAAATCGACTCACTACACGCGGATTATATGTGGAGAGGATTTTTGTTGCATGGCAAATTGGTTGTAACCTTAACAGGTTACTGGTACGCGCGCGACTTCCACAGTTGCTGCCTGGCGAGGATGCGAATTCGAACTTCAACGACGACGCTCCAAGGATTGAGGACGTGGCCACCTGAGAAATTTTCAAGGGTGACATGTACTGGTCCCCGTATTTCGGGCTGACCTGGTGTAGATAACCTAGAGATCAGTTTTTCTGAGGCTTCGTTTCTTCTTGAAGCGTAGCTTAGCTCTGTTTCTTTCATTAGCACTGATGAAGGCCTGCTAGGGTAGCCCCTTAACGGCCGAAACATGTTTGTTTTACTCTACTGCTGAAGTTATTGAGCTCGGATTGTTGAGATCTAAGTTTTACAGAAGGGTTTTTACTGTCTATCTTTTGCTTTAAGCCTGAATAAGTTTGCTGCTCGCTGAGAACATGTCCCAAGACCAGAGGGAGTCACCATTATGGAAGGGAACGCATGCATGCAAGCGCGGTGAATTAAAGAAGAGCGAAAGGAGGGCCACTGGTGGACGCACACTCACAAGCCACAGACTACGGTCTTTACCAAAGGGCTTTACCTGGAAAAAGGCTTCACCTGGGGGAGGGCTTTACCAGTAATGGGGAGGGTCTGTGGGACGTTTTGTGTGCTGCCACCGGTGGTTCCGTTTTGAGAGAAACAGAAATGACAGACAAACGAAGCGAGAATGGAAGCATGGAGGAGCGAGCACTTAGCTGGTTATGTGGCTGTGTGCAGGGGGCAGGTGAAGCATGTGCCGGCACCACCGGGTGTTGTCTCCTGGCGCCAGTGGCTTGGGGCATGAGGAGAACGCTGATGCTGCCCCACGTCCGTCTGTCTGCCACTGCTGCTCGCGATGAGGCCTGGAAGCGGGGTGCGAGAAGGTAGAGGAAGGGGGGGGGAGGGAGAGGAGGGGAGGGTTGCACAAGGAGAGGCAGTGAGTGGGATCGGATGGAGGCACAGTGCAAAAGAGAAGGCAAGCGCGGTGAATTGAGGAAGAGCGAAAGGAGGGCCGCTGGTGGACGCACACTCACAAGCCACAGACTACGGTCTTTACCAAGGGCTTTACCTGGAAAAAGGCTTCACCTGGGGGAGGGCTTTACCAGTAATGGGGAGGGTCTGTGGGACGTTTCGTGTGCTGCCACCTGTGGTTCCGTTTTGAGGGAGTGCGATGCATGGTGCAAGGTCGACATGAAAAGCAAGAGAATGGAGGGAGAGAGAAGGCACTTAGCTGGCGGGAGGTACAGCCGTGCGACCAATCTTGATGCCACAAATCGTGGACGACGACGGTTTTGCCGTGGTAGGACGCACGAATGACTGTTTCTTGTGCCCTCCCCTGCTGCTCCCTGCCCTCCCCTGCCACCTCCTCCGCACCACCCCTCCTTCCTGCCTTGGTGTGCGCACCTGCACAGCCACGGGGGAGGAGCGTGGGGGAATGGCGGTGCTGACCCCACACCCCTCCCCACCGCACACACATGCTAGGAGTGAGTGGGAATGGCATGGCACCACGCACAGCGACAACACACAGGGCCACGAACATGGATGGTGTTGGAAACGAAAGAAAAGCCTGCTGCACCACGCCACACCCAAGAAGGGAACCTTAGTCTCAACCTTACCTAGCTCTCACCATTACCTTGGCTCAAAGTTTTGCACCTGCAAACCGGGGGGGGTTCTTACCAGGGGAGCGAGGGGGGTACCTAGTCCGAACCTGGTAGCTGGGGAAGAAGGGCTTGGGTGTGGCAGCGAGCAGGGCCGCGGTGTTGGTGCTGTTGCTGCTGCAGCGAGCAGGGCGAGAGTGCGGCGTGCATGCGAGGGAAACGACACAGCGAGGCGAGTCAAGCGCGGAGGGGTACTTAGCTGCGAAACACGACAGTCCGCTGGCGTTGGCGTTGACTGCAGGAAAGCCCGCATCCAGCAGCACTCAGCAGCACCCAGCAGCACCCAGCAGCACCCAGCAGCACCCACAGCAGCCGCGCAGGCGTTGACGGGATGAAGCAGTCGCGCCCACAGCAGCAGCGCATACGTTGACTGGATAGGAGAGGGGTGAGAGAGGGGTGGGGGGGTGGGTGGGGGACGGCATGGGTGAGTGGAAGGGGCGGAAAGGCAAGCGGCAAGCAGGAGGAGGGCAGCAGAGGCGCACACATGCATGGGAGAAGAGAGCGCCAACGACAGCAACGCCTGCCGCACCACACCCAGGGGATTACCTCAGTCTGAACCGTACCAAAGCCGAACCTGTACCAAGGACAATAAATTTTGTACCTGCAGTGGGGGGGTTACTACCTGTTAGGCAAACCTGGTTACCTGTTGAGCATTTGGGGGAGCCCTTGCGTGTGGTGGTGAGCAGGCGTGCAGCGAGAGGCGCTCGTGGGAGCGTGGGGAGGGGCGCATGCATGCGGAACGACAAGGGGGACTGGGTACTTATCTCCGTTACAGCACATCACGGAGTGTTGATGCTGGCAGCTCATGCCACGGAAGTTGACTGCCCGCCAGTAGAGCGGAAACGCCAGTAAGAGCCAGTAGCGCGGAAACGCCAGTAGAGCGGAAACGTGTGGATGAAGAGAATCGCGTTGAGCCGGACTTAGTAACTCTCGTGTGAGAGCGGAGCAGTGAACCTGCGAGACAAGGCACAAACGAAGAAGAAGCCATTAGATACTTGTTATTGGTAATCGACACGAACGTTGGGGATTGACACGAACGTTGGAAAGTGATACGAACCAAACAGAAAAAAAGGTGACTCTCTAGCCGAGATGTGCCACGTTTTAAAACTTACGTTGAGAACTCGATCACTTTGGTGCGTGCTGAAATGCCTAACTGAAGAGCGTGCTGATGAAATGTCTTGAATCGAAGCAGATGTTATTGATTCGAAGCGATTTCGAACGTTTTTGCGGAAAAGCAGAGAGTGGAATCAGTTGTCTAACGATAAAAGAAAAACGGAACGGTTGGCCTTGGAACGTTCAACTTACTGTACGAATAATATTCGTTACTCGCAGAATAACTAGACAATTGGATCCGAACGTCAACGCAGCACGAACTCCAGAAGCAACACTCGTGCTGGCAGCAGCCGAACTTGAGATCCGTGTAGGCTAACTAGGAAAAATGAAGGAAAATGGAACACGAGAATGAGAGAGCAGAGGGGGGCTAGCAGGAGACGTTGCGTTGAGAAAGGCGAAATCCGTTGGGAAATGGAATGTGTGGAGGTACGGGAATGGCATG